CGAAGCCGCTGAGCAACCGACTCTTTTGCGTGCGGCGTGTCGGCAGCAGCGGTTGAAGAGGACTCGTGCATGGTTTTGTTTTTATGTAAAATACATTTTGAAATATTTCAATAAACGGTCAGAAAATAAAGCAGATGTTCACATGCGAAGCGAGAACACAAAGACAAACACAACGTCCGTTTTTACCGACATTGTCTCGCTCGGATCAGACGGACTGCACACCAACGTGTCCGATAAACAAATGAGTTTAAATCTGCGATAATCTCAGCGATGAACAATCAAATCCTTCAACCACTTAAGTAAAATGAGTCGAACCACAACGGAAAAAGACTTTCTCTGGTGTGTTAGCAGGAAAATTAAATGTATTCAAGTGGTTGAGAGTTCAGTCAGTTTATAATAATAATAACTTTATAATAATAACTATGATTAATAACTTTAATTATCAGCTTGTAGTCGTTTAAACAGCAACTGTACTTTATATATTTGTTGTTTTTTGTGTAACTGAACAAATCCGTATTAATTTGAATCTACTAATATTTGTAACTGCATCTATCAGATAAACAGTAAAACGTAAAAGTAAAGCAGTTTTAGAAGTAAACAATGTGATTTGGTTTCGTTTTCATCGTAAATAAAGTCCAAACAGTTTCCTTTATAATACTAAACTATATAAACAAAAGCAACAATATGAACATTTAAGAATTCAACAAATGTTTGAGTGACTCAAAATATTAATAAATAATCAAAAATCTGTTTAATAATTCGACTGTAAATATAATATATATAAATATCTGATACTCAAGCCAATAACACCTGAACAGAGAGGATCAATAAAGTCTGTTTTAATTCATCAAACTGCTCAAAGTGAAACATTTCCTGTCAGATTTCAGAATAAAAGCTCTTTTATTTTGACGTAAAATCGCAGGATTTTAGATGATAAAGTTTATGAGACTTGAATGTGAACCTTTAAAGTTATGAGATATAATTATTTATAATTAAGTAGTTGAGTGTTTACAGCTGTGATAACCTTCAGTCGCACGTTTGATTAGATGTTAATTAATAAAACCAGAATAAAACTCTGATTATTTATCATTTTTAATTCATCTTCATTGTCTGCAGTTATTATTGTGGCACTAAATGATTAATATTATCATATATATATATATATATATATATATATATATATATATATATATACAGTTTGATTTTGGTTATTATTATTATTTCCTCCGTATTTATTATTTATGTCTTTTATAATAAACATGATTCCAGATATGTTTATGATATAAAAACTAAATATAAAAGCAGATAATTTACATTAATGACATATATACAAATATAAATAATGTTTCTGTTTCTGTGACGAGTGTGTAAAGTGTGTTTGATGACATCATGCTGTGGCGGCAGCAGCGGCGATGAAACGCTGACTCAGACTGTTTGACTGCAGATCCAAATGCAAATATCTGCTGCTGGTGTTTGATCAGATTTACCTGAGAATCCCAGAGCAAACACACACACACACACACACACACACACACACACACACACACACACACACACACACACACACACACACACACACACACACACTCCTGAAATATCCATAAAATATGCGTCACTGAGTCAGTTTATTAATGATAGATAGATGAAAATAGATATCTTAAGGACAAAGATTGAAACCAGTTATATTTCTGTCTGTAAATCACAGAACTAATCAGATACTCAAAAATCATAATTTATATTTATATTTACATTGTTTTCATGATGGTTTTATTATCCAGATTCAGACCTTATTTACACATAGCCAATCAAATCTTGCCTATCTTGGGGCAGCCGGTAGCTCCCCCGGTAGCTCACCCGGTAGTTCATCCGGTAGCTCTCCCGGTAGCTCACCCGGTAGATCACCCGGTAGCTCATCCGCTGAGTCCTTCCTGCAGAGTTTGACTTTGACCTGCAGCCCTTTGCTGTGTGTCATCCTCTCTCTCTCTATCACCCTTTTTCCTCCTTATCTTCAGCAGTTGGTCAAAGGTTATTAAAGGTTATAAAATGTATTTTGTAAAATGTATTGAATGAATGCTTTTTACAGACATAAGTCCCAAAGTGCTTTACACTGGCAATGTACAACAAAGGGAAATAAAAGCCAATAAAAATACACTATAAATACATAAAGCAGTGTTGTCGGCCTCACACGGGGCACCACATGAAGACTTTCTCGCGCTTTATACGACATCACCTGACTTTGACGGCAAGCACCGGAGGGAAAACCTACAGCGTCATATTCACTGACTGAGCAGCTGAATTTGTTTTTATAAAACGTCTTAAATGTTCAGTTGAATCTGTAATTTAAAGATCATTCAACAGTTTTTGTGTTCTGTTCATGTTCCTGTTTCACTTGGTTCCAGACGTGTTTCTGTCTGACTGCAGGTTTTAATCATCGTGTTGTTTGTTTGTTTGTTTGTTTGTTTGTTGTGTTCAGGGGAGGACAGCAGTCCGGAGAACCTGCTGCTTCACGGTCCGTTCTCCAGGAAACCCAAACGGATCCGGACGGCGTTCTCACCGTCTCAGCTGCTGCGACTGGAGCGAGCCTTCGAGAAGAATCACTACGTGGTCGGAGCCGAGAGGAAGCAGCTGGCCAGCGGGTTGTGTCTGACCGAGACGCAGGTAGGCATGATGGGAAACTGAGGGGCAGCAGTGCATGATGGGAAGAAGATGGGCAATGTTTTTATTATCATCAAACCTGAATTTTATCAAATGTATCAAAGATCAATAAAAGTGAACAGAAAATATAAATGAATGAGTGAGTGAATGTCTGTATGATGAGTTCAGGTCTGATCTGAGGTCAGCTGGCGTTGATCCAGATCCCAGGACTCGGGTTGGGGGTTGTGGGGGAGGTGTAGTGAGTGAACAGTTAGTCAGATCCGCGGCGTTCCCGCCCTCCCCGTTTTCTCAGGAGTGATTGACAGTGTTTGTCATCAGGTCGCCACGGCGATACGTGGCCTGACGCCAGTGAAACGCGGTGAATCATCCACGATGAGCTGGTTTCACAACCGAGGACAGGAAGAGAGACAGCGGGCATCAATCAGCAGCTATTAATCAGCGTTACAGCCTCTGCAGTCACTGCGCGTTTATTGACGATAATGATCCAGTAAAAAGACTCACGGCTTCCATCCAAAAACAGACGGCTCGTAAAAACATTCACGATTCAAAATACTGAATAGTCAAAGTAAAGTCCTTAATGAATGTAAAGTTTAAAAGACTTTAATGACATTAGACATTTTGCATAATGAGCACTTTTGTGTAGTTTTAGTGAAGAAAGGTTTTGAATGCAGAACTTTTACTTGCAAATGAGGATTTTTGCGAGAGTTGATTGTCAGTAGTTCTCTTCCTCTGGTGATCAAAAGCATTGCTCTGAAGATCGATTCCTTTCAACAGATCAATAAAGATCAATCCGTATCAATTTCAGGCTTAAATTAACAACTTCTATGTTAGCCCCGCCCACTTCCACGTTAAGCCCCGCCCGGTCAGAGCACGGATAATAATGAGCTCGCTTGTCCCTCATTTAAAGGAGGGAAACATTAGCTGTTAGCTGATTTATATCAATCGTTAGTTCGGTTGCATTTTGCTAACATTAGCTTTCAGACTAGCTAGCTAACAATTGATGTAGATTACCTAGCTACAGAGCAATATGCTAGCTCGCTAACGTAGCTATAAAGTAGTTCTTTGTACCGTAGAGAGAAAGCGTTTGATTGATTATCAGGAATCTCTAAAATACCGTTAAGAACACCTGAAGACACCTGAACCAGGACTTCCTGTCCCTGTTGGACAGACACTGGAGGAGACGGACAGAAACAGAAGAGATAAAAACACTTAAATTCTGACAAAATAACAAAGTCTTGAGTTTAATTTGTGGAAGGAATCCAACGGGAAATCACCTCCTCGCACAGATTAAACTGTCCGTCACACACAGTCTGATCTTAAAGTGTCTCCTCGGGGCCGTTGGCAGCGACGAGCAGTCGATCTGGATCCTGTCAGACTGATTTAAGATCAGTTCACGCTGACAGATTGTGCAACTCGAGCTCTCAGTCGGGACTCAGCTGGACGTGTTTGAACCACTCCGCATGTCAGAGTCATGTTTTACCAGCAGGAAGATCTTAAATCACTGTGACGCTCGTACAGTCATTATTACTGTCAGAGGAGGAGAAATACTGCAGTAGTAGAGACTGATAGAGCTGATAGTGGTAGTGAATGAGTAAAATAATATTAAATAATAGCATAAATATACTAATAAAATACTTGCAAACGTACTTTAATACATCTTTCTGCTTGTGTCTCTACTGAAGCATCAAAACAGTTTAATCTATAAATGAAAAAGTGAAATTCATAATCAAGAAAACAGATGATGTGAATTATACCAGTTTTTAATTATACGGTATAATTATATCAGTGTTTCTACTCCCTGTGTGTAGTAACTGTAATAGTGTCAGTAATGTGCTTGTCATAGTAGAGGAAGGTGATGAGGTGATGGAGTAATTGTAGTAGATTCAAATTAATACGGATTTGTTTTTATTTGAATTTAAAGTAGTTAGAGAGGAGGTAGAGGGATTTACACAGGAACAGGAAGTCCTCAGTAAAAGTCCTGCATTCAAAATACTTATAAATATATCAGCATCAAACTATAGTTAAAGTATTCAAATTAAAGGTACTCATTATGGATTATTGGATTATAATTATGGATCTGGTAAATTAATTAATTGCTAATATTACATCATGAAGTTTATATTTTGTGTTATTAAATAATTTACACTCTGACTTTATGATAAATGAGTGAAAAGAAAAATGAAAATATAAACACATAAAAACTGTACTTCAGTAACTGTACTTAGTTACTCTCTCATATAGGCTGTATTATTAACTAGAAAATTCTTAAAGAACTTTTGATTGTGCCTTGCTCTGGCCCGTGACACTGGCCCATACATTACTGACACTGCCGAGTAGTTTACAGTACAATGAGGGGAGACACCCGTGTTTAATTCGGCGTACACATGATCCACTAACAACCACGTATTTTAATGACAAATCTTGTTTTTTCCATCTATTCCCACGATCTTCTCCCACTGAAATAGTGAGGCTGGTAACGAGTTGATGTGACAAAGTCGGCCAAAAGTTGGTATTTATGTATTATATTGATTCTGAATTGACCAGAAGACTGTTGAGATATGATGAGTTTTTTTCTTGTGTTTCTACAGTTATGTGCTTTTATGTAAGCGCAAATAATTGTTAATATATGGTATTTCTTAAATGGAGTTTGGCATAATATTGTCCTGGGATTATGCAGGAAGCGTCATGGTTTAATTAAAATAGGTAAAGTAACTAAATAAGTAATAACCACAATGATGGGAATAATAAGTATGTAGTTATAACAATAATAATAATAATAATAATAATAATAATAATAATAGATAATAATAATAATATAAATAACATGAATAACAATATTTATATTAATAAATAATACATAATTAAGAAAGAAAACTATTGGTAATGTGCAGTCATAGGCTGTGTAGGTTTTTTAAACTTTTAGAAGTGTCCACCAGACCCCCTACCTGTTAACATACAATGAATGTTGTAGACTTTTATTTTGAAATACCACCCTCAGCCCGAAAGCAATAGTGCAGTTACAGTCTGAGTGTCAAAATAAATCTAACTTCATGTTTTATTACTAAATCTGTATTACTTGTGTGATGTGTAACAAGTTGAAATAGATGGTTAATTAATTAATTTCAGTGTCTTTTGTGACGTTTAATTAGCACATTAGTAGCTTATCCTCTCTAGCTAGCAAAGCATTTTAATTAATTAGCCTTCTAATTCTCTTTAGCTAGCTAGCTAGAGCTAGCACACATAAACACATTAACCAAAGCTAGCACTTAGCTAACTGCTAATCGCTAGCTAAGTGCTAGCTTTGGTTAATGTGTTTAATTGTATTATGCTCCTGAAGGAGTTCTAATGTAAATTAAGGAACAGCTCATAGTAGGGTAAAATATTTAAAGTGTATTGTATTTATTTTGTGTTAATATTAAAATCATTCAGCTTTAAATTGTTTGTTTGTTAGCCGCCTGCTAATTATCTTTAGCTAGCCAGCTAGCGCTAGATTATTAATGTCATGTCATTCTCTGTAGCTAGCTGTGTGTGTGTGTGTGTGTGTGTGTGTGTGTGTGTGTGTGTGTGTGTGTGTGTGTGTGTGAGGCAGGCTTTGGTTGTCGTGGCAACCAGGGGAGACCACAGCACTTGAGACTCTTGAGAGAGACAGAAACATTTAAAATGAATCCCCTCAGAACCCATGGCCAGGAACGACCAAAATGAAAACCGAAAAGTCCGTGAGCGTCGTCATCTTGTTGACTATAGCACTGCCGAGTTTCAGTGGCTAAAGTTAAAAAATGTGACCTGGGGAGATTGAGAGAGAAGAGGTTCAACGAGCTCCTTTAAACATTTCTCCTCTACATTTTAACATGGGAGTAGATGGGGCCGTGAGAGGGAGTTGCTGGCGCATCAGTGCGTCTCCCGCCAAAACAATTTGTCTGACAGCTTCAGCAGTAGTATCACTGCGACCCCAACGGATTTACCTACGTTTCTATCTATAAATTATTTCTATAGAGTGACATTTGTGGTCTTGGAGCAGTTTACAAATGTATTTTTATATTTTCTCTCTCCCCACACTCTGCGATGATGTCCGCACTCTGGCTGTGAACATTCTGCAATACACACCCATTCATTTTTTGGACCGGTTTTGGCGATTTACCGGCAAACTGTTTGGCGAAGCTTAGAAAAGTCAGAGCACTAATGTCCTCACCGAGCCGCACGTTTGATACCTTTTTGTGTACGTGCACCAAAACTGCGGGAGGGAGCCAAAACGTACGGAAGAAAAAAATATTATAAGTATGGGGAAGAGAAGTATTGTGCTTTTTAAGGCACAATAATTATAGATTGATTATTTAAAGGGAAACTCTTATTGTTCAGTGCAGAGGAGGAGGAAGGTGTCTCACAGTACCTGTTGTATTAAACCTGTACTAACACGTCTGTCTGTCTGTCTGTCTGTCTGTCTGTCTGCGCAGGTGAAGGTGTGGTTTCAGAACCGCAGGACGAAGCACAAGCGTCAGAAGTTGGAGGAAGAGTCTCCTGAAGCTCAGCAGAAGAGGAAGGGCAGCCAGCACGTGAACCGCTGGAGAGCCGCCACACAGCAGCCGGGAGGAGAGGACGTGGACGTCATCAGCGACGACTAGACTGCAGCACGCACACACACACACACACACACACACACACACACACACACACACACACACACAGTCTCACTGTCAGCATCTAAATAACTTTAAAGGTGTGTTCAGGTGCACAGGGATCTGGAAAAAAACACATTTACAAAAATGTTCAATAGGTTGAAAAATATTTTGGAGTGAAAAGAATTCACCCTTTTGAGGTGATAATCTTTTTTGTTTAACTTAGATAAATGATCATGATCATCTTTCAGGGCTTTCAGAGGTTGAAAATTGAAACTTAAAAAGTAAAATTTTCAAATATTTTAAACTTAGAAAAAGTTAAAAGTTTAAAACATTTCACTTGCCTTTCAGGGCTTCCGTATGTGAACAGGATGAGCTAATGTGGCTAATGACGACCAAAACAAACTGGTTCTCACCTGGAACCAAAAAACAGCAGGTTAACCTGGATTTCAATGGTTCCAGGACCGGTTCAAGAACCAGAGATAATTTGGTGGAAAAACACAACAAAATTTTGCAGGAAATCTTTGATATTAAAAACAGCAAATATCTGCTGTAAATAAATAATAATAAATGATAAATAAAAAGATTAAAATGTGACTGTGGAGGAGGAAGAGCGCTGAATCCCCTGAACGCACCATCCAAAGGAAAACAAAAGTGCACAAGAGGCAGACATTGAACGCACCATGAAGCAACTTTAGATGTGACGCAGTGAAAAGAAAAGAAATATGAGCCGTAATAAAGATTTTAGAGCCTTCAGATTCATTAAATGTTGCAGCAGTCGGCCCAAAAACAACAGAAAATACTTTAAAGACTTAAAGTTTGTAAGTAGTTTACTTACTGAAAGCGGCGGCCCCTGTGGATAAAAGCGGTAGTGCTTCTACCTCCACACATTAATAATTAATATTTAGAAATATAAAATATATTATCTGTGTATGTCGCTCATTAAGAGGCTTCAGTATTAAATTTATTCTGTTTATAACCATAAAAACTCTTTGTGGTACATTTAGTCTAATTCATTAATCGAATATGGCTGCCTTTCTGCCTACATTTCAAAATAAAAGTATGATGTTGGAACTTTGTGTGATGACGGTGCGTTCAAGCTCAAACTCATTTGTTAAGCCGCTTGCCGACAGATTGTCTGGTTAATGACGAAGCGCCGGCATTTCGTCTTCTCTGATTTCAACACGATTCACTCAGATTGAAAATAAAACTTGTGACTCACTTAAAACGAGTAACATGATGCAGACAGAGTCAGGTGGAGGTGTTTTCATGTTCAGGCAGAACTTTAATTATTCGGCAGGTTCCTCTAAGTGGTCGCATCAATCTGCCAAAACACAGAAATCTTCCTCTGGTCTTCCTTTACGGCTCAGGTTTCTTTAGTTTGGTTCCTGTTGCTAAAAATATGAACTTCTAAGAACAAAACTCAACATTTTATTGGATATTTATTCTAATCTGAATCTTCTGTTGCTGCAGAGATTTACACACACTGACACACACACACACACACAGAGCTCACCTTTCCGAGGACTGATGGATGTCCCTGAAGGCATCGGCCGCTCATGCAAACAGCAGGAAACTCACCTGTTGACCTGTCGGAGATAATAAACAGCTACGAGGGAGGAGCTTAAAGAAACTGTCACTTCCTGTCGGAGTTGGACTGACGGCGAGATTCGACGCTTCAGAGAGGAAAAAAAAAACCAAGAATCTAACGAACAGGAGTCCGAACGTGGTCACAGCTGTTGACTGAACGGTTAAAGATGGTGGATTTTGGTGCCAAACGAAACCAGCGTCCTGAAAAAAGAGACGGTTTAAAGCGAGAAGCTGCTCTGCTGAAGGTTTGCGAGCGTCTGTTGGCGACAGACGGCGGGCGGCTCGCAGGAAATCTGCCCGACTCAACAACATGTCTGAAAGACAGAAAATAAGGTTCCTCCAGCAGAGAGAAACAGAAACTTTCTCCTTAAAGCATCCGGCTGTGATGTTCTTTACATTCCAGACTCCATTAACATTTCAGGGGATTTCAGCGGCTCTTTGTACGAGACTGTTGAGACTTTCAGTGAACAGATTCTGTCAAACAGTTTCTTTCTGGAGTCATCAGAGTGAAATTAATCAGATAAATCAGGTTTTAAACTCAGAAACAAACATTTGAGTTTAACGTTGACACCAAACACGCAGCTTTAACTCTGAGCTGAGAATGATCAGACAATCGAACACAGTTTGGTTTGGATTCCTGTGATCACAGCAGCGTTTCAGTTACTGTAAAGGAATCAGACTGTGAATGCAAACACACACATACACCATTGAGCGTATCGATTGAACTTTAACAGACGTCTGAAAGATCTTATCTTAGAGTTACTGTCGAAGCTAAAACAGGTTATGAAGCTGCTCGTTAACAAACTGTCCCGTTAGTGACCGACTCATGTTCTGAACCTCGGCCAACTTCCTCCTTTCCTGTACTTAGAGATGCTACATGCTAGGCTAATCTATGTTGAATTGTCTATCAATCGTTAGCTATCGCGTGTAGCTAGCTGGCTAGCAATTCATTTTGATGGGCTAGCTCGTGTTTTGCTACAGAGCAGATTAGCTTAGCATGTAGCATATCTAAGTACAGGAAAGGAGGAAGTTGACCGAGGTTCTGAACTGTGATTGGAGCACAGAGTGAAAAGGGGCGGGGCTTAGGACAGTTGAATCTGAACACAAGTTTTAACTCATTTAGCCGATAGCATCCTGGCAAAGCATCATGGGAATTATAGTTTATATTTAATCTTGAACTGTGGCTACATGGACGCTGTTAGCGTTTTATATTCATTTGACTTTAACGTCGTTCACAGAATAAATAGTTTATCACTGCTGTTCTCGGGCTTCATTTGAAAAGCATTCTGGGAAGTGTAGGAAAAGAACGAGTCAATGTGGAACATCACAAACTGATGATATTTAAGAGTTTATAGATTTAAAGTGAAACTCTTCCTGCTGGAGGAACCTGAGATCTTCTTTCTGCCCCGAATGGAAAACAGCTGTTTAATAATAATAATAATAATAATCTCATTAACTCAAACCAACAAGGTGTTCATCTGTCGCTCAGCTCAGAGCCGATTCGTTTGGGGACTATTTTCAGCGGCGGATTGATCCACATTTGGTGCTCTAGTGCGTATTCGGGGCAGTGTGTGTGTTCGTGGTAATGAAGGAACACGTCACCGAGGACACACACACACACAAGACATTGTTGGTTTGAGTCCATATGAAATAACAGCTCCTGTATATTAGGGTTGTTTTTCACCGCCTTGCTCAGCGGCACTGCGGCAGAGCAGCTGAACCCGCAGCAGTTTTCACTCTGCTGGTTGTTTGTTTTTTTTTTGTCTTTTTGGAAACAAAATGTAGGTATTTATGTAAAAAAATGGATTTGAAAAAAAGTATTCTATGCATCTGATGTGTATATAATGATAATAATAATAATAACGTGTGGACTGTTTGTTTGTTTGTTTGTTTGTTTGTTTGTTTGTTTCTTTCACTGCATCCGTTCATCTGTTTGTTTTCTGCTTCCCGGACAGATTTACCTCATCATCTCCTTATGTAGCACTTCTTCTTCTTCTTCTTAGTCAGATCTATTTTTTCATCGTTTTAGGATCGAATGCACTAACTGTACAACTCGCCTCCTTTCAGGAAGGAGACACGGGACAGAAGCTTTGTACTTCCTGTGTTCAGATTTGGAAAAAATATAAATAAAATGAAATGAAATCAAACGTTTGGTTTAAATCTGCTGATGTGAAGAAGAACCAGAACCAGATCGTCTGCAGCTGTTCCTTCCTCTTTTATTTTATAATTTAAGAAATACATCCGTCGGTTTTCCTCTTTTATAAGTTTAATTATGTTATTTTTTAAACTTAAACTCACAATCAGGTGTCTTATGTTTTAATTTGTGTTTGTATAATTAAAACTGATTTTGCTTTATAAGAACAGAAAACAGAAACACTGAAATGTGATGTGAGTCCTTTAAAAAACAAAGTTTTATAATTGGCAGAATATTTTGTTCTAAAAGAAAAAATTACAGTTTAATTTCGATTTAATACAGTTTGAATTTTAAAAGAAAGATTTTTTTATTTTTCGTTTTTAGTGTAACAGAGTTTGTATTATTATTATTATTATTATTATTATTATTATAATTATTATGATCCTACAGTAATAACCGCCTACAGACAGAGTGCAGTTAAATAAATAAATATAACTCAGAGTTTTTAAAGAACACTGTAATGAGTCGCAGTTTGTCCTGAAGGAAGAACAGAAACATGTTCATAGAAATATTAGAGCAGAAGCACAGAGGGCCGTCACACCTTGAGATTCCCCCCGCAGGTCGAAGCTGATCCTCGGCTGCAGCGGCGGCTCAGTCCCGGTCCTCCGGTCCTCCTGCAGCCGTGGACTGAGGCCTCTGCCCGCAGCTGCTGCTCCGGGAGCTCCGGCCTCTCTGCGGGAGACAGTTTTGTATATCTATAGATATATATATATCTAAAGCTCATACTGACGGACTGTTTGCAGATTCAGAGGAAATAATTAATCTTCCTGTTAAACTCTAATTCTCTCTGAGTCAACGGCAGTTTGAAATAAATAATTAAACAAAAACTCGTTTCAGTTCGTTAAAACTATCAAAACTTTTTTAGAAAAACGAGTTCAACCCCGAATTAGATTTTATTAAACTTTCTGATGTTTGCAGCAGAATTTATTAAAACAAACAGTTATAAGTTATAATACATTAAAAACAGGAGGAGTCTGAAGTTATCATTTATAATCTCTGAAAAACATTAAAGCTAAAGTGAATTAATAAACTAATAAAGTAATAAATGAAGCTCTGCAGGCTGTTGAATACAAACATTTATTCTACAGATATAAAAACACGACCCAACTGATGTCACATCATAATCATTTTAATATTTATTAAAATAAGTTATATTGAAATATCTGTCAAAACACTTTGAATATGACTGTTTTTTATCCAGCAGACAGAAATATTTCATCCATTCATGTTGAAGTTTATTTGTTCAGGAAACTTTCAGCTTTAAAACTGTCTTTAGAGAGAAAAATGGGAATATTACAGGAACAATATTCATATAGTAGCAGCCATTGTAATAGTTATAATATTATACATATATTATATATTATTATGATATAAAAAATAGATTATGACATCAAAGGTCCAGATTATGAGGAAAAGTCAGTTACTTGATGACTGACACAATGAGACACAGACACATTAAATTCATTTCAGTTTGAATCAGGATCATTTATATATAATAGTTATTAACTAGATTATTATTATTTATACATTTTAAACCTTTTTAGAAGATAAAACTGTTTATTGCCATAAATACCAGCATACCTGTTAATCTCAGTAAGAAAGGAGAAATAAGTTTAAACATTTTATGAACTAATGGCAGATTTATTGGGTGCTGCAGACTCAGCGCCGTGCACACAGGAGGGATCTTTCTTCAGGACGCTGAGGAATATCAGGAGGATGAATTTATAGATGGATTGTAAAGATGAAGAATATACGAGCTGACAGGAAACATGATTCACACGGTTTATTGAAGGTTTACAGTCTCATGATCAACAGGACAAACATTAATAATTCACTGTGAGCTGAAACAAACTTATTCCTAATGTTATAAAAACTGATTATTATTATCATTTTAGGACAGTTTAAATTAGGAGCCGCAGCACAAATGAACTCAAACAGTCCAATACATTAAAGCAGAAAACAACAATATGAGGTTATTGAAAACCCTCAGGGGTCTGCAGTCGGTACGATTCATCCAACATATACAAAAACAGAGTTTCTTACATGTTTTATTAAATATTAGAAACATCTCTCAGTATAATAAAACACAGACACAGACCACAAATGCATCCCAGCAGCCTGAATCTGACCCCGTTATAAAAGGTCTGAAAGGTTCATCGAGCAGTTTACGAACAATAAACGAGTTTGTGTTACAGTTAACTTTACTGAGTGTGATAAACCAAAGACGCTGTAGCAGATAAAGTGCTTTAATATTTCATATTACCGAAGATAGATCATGTTTGAATTCCAATCACTAAATAAAAGAATACCACAGGAGTAAATGTGTATAGATGTGTGTATACATATTACAGATTCAGACTCTCTGAGGGGCAAAAACAATAATAAGGGCACCAGCGTGCAGAAAGTCGTGATGTATTTATGGAGAAACAGGTTCGAAACACTGGTTAAGATAAAAATTGCTGTATTATGTGACTCAGATAAAAGATTAAAGTATTCTACAGTATTTTCTCCACTGGAAGGGCAACTTATAGGGACACTTCATCTTGTTTTATCCACTGGAAGATCAACACTTCATCACGTTTTATCCACCACAGCAACACTTCTGCTGCCCCCCCCCCGAGTCACAGGAAAACCATCAACACCACGACGTAGAAAACCAGGTATGAAATGAGAATAAAATCAGTTCCAGTAGAATAAGCTGGTCGTGCTCCCTGCAGACCGACTGTGAGTGTGATGGAGATATCATAAAGCTGCGTCCTCCCCCTCCAGTCGCTGCTACCTGCCTGTATGTTGGTGGTGTTGCCATGGAAATGTTTCAATATTCACAATGAGAGGCTGAAATGAAATAACAGATGGTGGGAGGCATGTAGGTGCACGACTGACAGAAACAAATTATCACTTCTTTTTATCTCCTCAGAGTGAACCGACTGTTTAAAACCCCACCGACACTGACGGGTGAGTGCAGGTGAACCGCGGCGGTTATTGGTGGTTATTAGATTCAATTATCAAACCAGCGGACGCAGACGGCTTTAAAAACAAAAGACTGTCTGATTTAATGTGAATGGTTTTTCCAGGGAATCCACCTGAAAGGATGAGAGACGCTCTTCTGTCTCTGTTGATCTCACTGAACCTAAAACAAGAACTTTTAAGGGTTTCAGGGCGACTTTCAGAGTTTTTGTGGTCAAAGAGTGACAATAAAGCTGGCTGGAAGATACTTTCATGTCGTAGTGTCGCACATTTTCTACAGTTAAATAGTCAGAAATAATATTCATCTGATTCATCTGATCGAGGTTATTTAAACCTGCGACAGCTGCTGATGCATCCGAACTGGAAAGCTGAAACTATCTTCAGTTGCGCCATCGAATAAAGATATAAAAAGCCCCAAGCCCCCGTCACTAAAGCAAAATTGAAACTGAAGGAATTATTCTTCTGCAACGAGCTCGGAAACTCAATAAACGCAGCACAAAAACTCGCTGGTGGTGAACATTTACAGGTCATATGTGTCTGACGCATAGACAGCCCCCCTTAACTGCAAAATCCCAAACCCAACGGATCGTCAGCCATTTTGAATTGAATGGTAATGTTTGGTGATTTTCAGGCGCTGTACTTTAACAAAGAATTGATCGGATCGACTTCCAGTTTGGTCGATCGGCTCAAACGACGTTAAGATTCATCAAAATCTGGAGGTTTCGTCTAACAGTGTGTCCGTGGTATAGAAAATCGACGTTCCGCCATGAAACAGGAACCTCTAACTCTCCAATCGAGCCCCAAACTTCACGTCAGTCACAGCGCCACCTTCTGGTGACAGGAAGCCTTGTATGGCAACCATCATCTGATTTAGGTGATGCGTCATATTTCAGATGCCGTCAGTTGTTTCTCAGCGTTTGTTTTTATCTCCTCACCTCTGCAGGTTGTTAATAAGGAAACACTGAATTTACATTTAAAATA